TTTTTCCTCATCATTATCGTGAGGTAGGGTGCCCAAAAGACTGGCAGCATTACCACGTTGAATGGCAATGCTTTGCCTTTGTCCAAGGTAGAAGCCAGCCCTTCGATCACCTGAAGTGTCAACCATCCTCCTTACAATATATTTGTAAAGAAGATGTGCACTTGGGCCCCACGGCCCTAAAGTTTCAACCCCAAACGGTTCGAAAGCATAATTTTTACTTTTTTAACACAATTTTTTTTTTTCGAACAAATAAATTACCTCAACAGTAACTTTATTGCTGCTAAAAGATTATTTACCTTAATTCGTCTGTTTAATCCATTTTTTGGAATAGATTAAGCTAAAACTTGCTTTTATATAAATATTTTTGTTAAGCGCTTCTTACTCAATCGTCAATCGAAAAATGAGTAAAATTTTTTTTAAATATTCCAGAAGTTACTGCAGATCCACTAAATATTGCTTATCACTTACTTTCATGTATTTGGTACCCACTACAAGGAAGTTATTTTCTTTATCTAGTATTTACCGGATAATCGGATCTGCAACTCTCATAATGTTGCCATAACAGTTGCAATTTACCTACTCTAGAATTGACTGCCGGGCAAGGGATCTCGTGTTCGATTCCGGGGTCAGGCATAAGTATTACTGGGTTTTAAAAAAAATCTCAGTATTAGCACGGAGTCTGGAATTGTGCCCGGTGTATGGCAATAGGCTCACCCCATATTACATGGGTATCATAACATAAATAGTGAAAAGTGCGTGTTACAGTGGCATAATGTGCACCTCGGCCTACCCCTTCGGGGATAAAAGGCATGATGTTATGTAAAATTCTACTTGATACAAATTTATGCCGAAGTCTCTACGTAGAGTAGTATAACCATGCCTCGCTTTATCTTTTAGCTGCTCGTTAGGTTCGCATTGGAAAATTTTCAAACAACTCTACCAGCTCTACATGTGTTGCTGTGATGTACTAGCAAGCTGAATCCAGTACAGTACAAGCAGAGATGTATTGAAATTGTTAGTGAATGCTTTATTGTTTTCAAAATATAAAAAGTATCGTAGTGGTTTACATTTTTATAGAAACCATTCGTATAATCATATGGCGAGGAGGGATGACATTTTCCCTTGAGAATAAGATGAGTGAACCCGAATTAATTATGAAATTGCCTAACCGCTTTGAGCAAGTGCAGTGATTAATCTTCGTTCGTCTTCTATATGAAAAGAGGCCATTCCGCTGCAGTAGTGATGATGCTAATGAAAATATTTTTGTGTCTCCTCCATCAAATGTTAAAAAAAAGAAAGTTGTGGTTTAAAGTATTTTTCAGTTGCCTTTTAATATATACGTCTTTAAAATATTATAATATTAACCTTTACTACAATAGACATTGCAGTTTGATAAATAAGTGGGACATAGCAAAATAGCAAAAAGCAAAATAAAAAAATATTAAACAAAAAAATATATATTTGTCGTGACCCAAATAGGAATTTTCTCCTGAACTGTGAAAGCGTTTTACCAGAATATATTTTACATACATAGAACACACCTAGACGACCTGGCACAATAATTTCTGGATCACACAAAGAGGTTTTATAAAACGCTAAACTGGACAGAAACTAATGTTCGACTCTTAGTTTCAACATCAACAGCCTATAAGTGGCCACTGCAGACTTAAGACCTCTTCTCAGACGGAAAACGTTTGAGCATTAATCGCCACGCTTGCTCAACTGTAAGTCCTAGTTTCCTCTCGATATCTTACTTCGCCGTTTGTCAGTGGTGTCTAAATACTCTTAGAAAGTACATATAACTTGGAAAAGTCACATTAGTGCTTGCTGTTGGTAGGTTTCTAACCAGCTTCCTCCGATTCGGAGTCGCGGAGAACTTAACGGGTAACCGGGGCTCCGGCTCGACGTGCAGGAGAAGGAACGGGGTGGTTTTTAGTCAGTAAGAGTCTGACACTCCCTCCCACCTCACCCAGGCGGGAGCAGTCATTCGATGATTTTCCCCCCTTAAAAAAAACCAGCTTCCTCATGCATGAGAAGCGGGCGTCTTCAACCTCCGGGCCACCACTCTTAGTTTAATTTGCTTTAACAAAATTCTTATTTCATTAAGAAGTAATCAAAACTAGTCTAATAATCTTGTTCAAATGCGTTCAATTTCAGTTCATTGTGTCGTGTTGGACGACTTTCATCAGCCAAAAGAGAAGATAGCGCTGATAGAGACATTTTAAACACACGACTTTATACGTAAATTATAATTTCTACCACGCTCAAAGCATTTAGGAGGCCTTCAGACCACTCTTACATTTGAGTGGACTTTTGACAATATATTGACACATACTTAAAATAAGTATCGTTTCAGTATACGGTTTTTTCATCTAACTGGACCATTGAGCACGACTTAAATGTAACAGGCCTTCAAAAGAATAACTGACAATTCATGATACAAAACTAGAATTTGAGGGCTGCTCAATGATTTAAGCAGCCGTTACATATTTAACAAACGTCAGTATTCCGGTACATTTGAGGTGACTTTTGACAATAGATTGACACATACTTAAAATAAGTATCGTTTCAGTATACGGTTTTTTCATTTAAGTGGACTTTTGAGCACGACTTAAATTTAACAGACCTTTAAAAAGATAACAGACGTTTGAGTATACCAAACTAGAATTTGAGGGCTGCTCAATGATTTAAACAGCCGTTAAATATTTAACAAACAGTTGTTTAAAAAACAACAAATTTTCAGTATTCGGGCATAAGACATTTTAATCTTTATCTAACTAACGGACTAAATAGATGTGTCCAACCTACACCCTTTTCATATCAGAATTCCTACTACAATTAGAACTATAAGAAACTATTCCACAACAATCTCTTTTACAATAGCCGGGAGTCGCATCAGACAGGGCGGCGACGCGGCTTTGTCCTGTAATATCAAGTCATACGTTATATTATTGTAGTAACGCAACATTATCCTACATTATTAGAACAGAGATATAAAACATACTTGCTCTCTTAATAAGTATAAGATATTCTTAATGCGAGAGTCTTTGTTTCTTTGTCTTTTCTACGTAGGACCAAGGGTCCTTTTTTGTAATATATTAATGTAATGCCCCAAGTGTTGCAGGCGTACATAGGCCACGGTAACCGCTTACCATCAGGTGGGCCGTGTGCTGTTTTGCCACCGTCGTGATATAAAAAAAATATTATTAACCCTTTGAGTACCGTCATTATAGACACAATTAAAGAACAATAGGTTGCGGTCACCGGTTTCCTCGCGGTGATTGACAGTTTTACTAGCTTCTGCCCGCGACTTCGTACGTGCAATCCCGTTTTCTCGTTCTCGTAGGATTTTCATTTCCGATTTTTTCTGTCTTAAGAACCTTCTCCTCCTAATAACAAACGCAACAAAAAAAAGAATTAGTGAAATCGGTCCAGCCATTCACACATGATGTCGTGACAAAGAGAAAAAGGTATTCATTTTTATATATGTATATAGATTTTGAGTTTAATTACATTAGAGTAAATAGGTATATACATTTTTTTCTGAGACTAATCACCACGTACAATCTGGTGAAGAACTAAAAATAATAATGAAGAATGTCTATAAATTCTTAAGTATAGTCTACCAAAGTTCATAGACTACAAAATGTATGATAAGCAAGCCAAAGTACACACATATGTATAATAGTATATTATAATATGCTCACATAGGCCTATAGTACATGTCAGCATCATTATCCAGTATATACCTTATCGCCGTCAGCAAACGTTCCCATGTAAACAGCCACATGTCATGTCAAATATATAGTCCAGTCAACAAGGATATAGCATGGCTGATTGCGCACTGCGGTGCCATACATAAAGTCAAGCCACATATACATCGTCATTCATATACAAATTAATTCAATGAAATAGATTAATGATTTTATAAATTACAATCTGTGAAAAAATTGTAAAGGCTTGCTACGGCGTAGCACCGTAGCAGATTGCTACGAAATGTATAGCGTAGTATTTTTGGTTGTAGAATGTCATGGACAATGTTAGGTGAATTAGATTTGTATTTTATCTTATACTTTTTCAAATGAAAGTAGAAAATAATACGCAACCCGGATATAGAAGCTTAAAGCTCAACAAACGCAATTTAAAACATTTGAATGCCTCAATTTAAACCATTATAAAATTGAAGTTCACATTTTGTATAAACGTATCAATATAGGTCCTGCTGACCAACCTATCCCAACGTGCGTCACGATATTCAACCCTCCGGCCTCCACGCAAAGCTCACCCGCGCCAATCAACGTAACAATTATTACAACATATCGAATGCAATAACCCCATAGCAGGTCACTCCACCTGCCAGTTACCACGAATCAACCCTTCCCCACCCCCTTCCGAGAAATCTACTCAAGGGATATTATTACCACCGGCATTTCCCAGCAAAACTTTATTAATAAACAATTTGTTGGAGGAAACGAACGATTGTTTCTATGCAAGCTATATATAACCCAGTGTGGGCTGACTTTCAAAGTTTTTTGTCGAGAATAAACTTTGAATATTTCATAATGTTTGAGGTAATTGTTATTTAATCGCTATTACAAGTTTCTGAGTTTATTTCATTGAGTGTACAGAAAGTTCCTGGCAACCTTCCTGTGTTTCATTGACAAATTACGATGCTTGTCTATTACGATAAAAGGTACTAACATGGTGTAATGTTTCATTGACACAAACATAAATCCTCGCAATTTCCACCTAATTTTCGCAACGTTTCGCTAGATAGGTAGTAGAAGCGGCTCGTTCGTTGTCCCCGAACGCAACTCCTCACGGAACCCAGTTACGTCGGGGCCGAGGTGGCCGGGTGTCGATCGATTCGCCCGGGGTAGATCTGGTTTTTTCGGACACTATACCAACGGAGGGTGAACGAACCCAGTTATGTAAGGCGGGTCGATAGCGGGCGTCATGCGCGCCGCGCTCGCTGCTACCCCTCAATACCGTTCGCGCGCGCTACCCCGACGGACGTGCACTTTATTTTTATCGCGTTTTTTCGTTCCTCTTTCGTTCTTTCCGTTTATGATTTGAGCCGCCACCATGTCGAAGGGCGATGGTGAACAACAAAACGGTGGTGGCGAGGAGTCCAAGACTAACCTGATCATCAACTACCTGCCCCAGTCCATGACGCAGGAAGAGATCCGGAGCCTGTTCTCCAGCATCGGTGAAGTGGAGTCGTGCAAGCTGATCCGGAACAAGGGCGCGGCGTTCCCCGACGCACTCAACCATGCACTGCACGGCGGCGGCCAGAGCCTCGGCTATGCCTTTGTCAACTACCACCGACCTGAGGATGCCGAGAAGGCCATCGCCACGCTCAATGGCCTCCGTCTCCAGAACAAGACGATCAAAGTGTCCTACGCGAGACCCAGCAGTGAAGCTATCAAAGGTGCGAATCTGTATGTTTCCGGACTACCTAAGACGATGACTCAGGCCGAACTTGAGCGATTGTTCAGCCCGTACGGCAGGATTATTACGTCGCGAATCTTGTGTGAGAACTCTGGCGGCCGACCCTTCACTGGTGGTGAGCAGGGGCTGTCCAAGGGTGTTGGATTTATTCGCTTCGACCAGCGCGTCGAGGCGGAGCGTGCCATCCAGGAGCTGAACGGAACAGTGCCGAAGGGAGCCACGGAGCCAATCACGGTGAAGTTCGCCAACAACCCCAGCAACAACGGCAAGGCGCTGGCGCCGCTGGCCGCGTACCTGCCGGCTGCGCTGCGCTTCCCAGCGCCACTCGGCAGATTCAGCTCAGGCAAGTCCCTCCTAGCCATCAACAAAGGTCTGCAGCGCTACAGCCCGCTGGCGGGCGAGCTGCTGGGTGGAGTATTGCCGGGCGCCGTGGGCTCGGAGTGGTGCATATTCGTGTACAACCTAGCGCCCGAGACCGAGGAGAACGTGCTGTGGCAGCTGTTCGGGCCCTTCGGCGCCGTGCAGAGCGTCAAGGTGATCCGTGACCTGCAGACCAACAAGTGCAAGGGCTACGGGTTCATCACCATGACCAACTACGACGAGGCCGTGGTCGCCATCCAGTCGCTCAACGGGTACACGCTCGGCAACCGCGTGCTGCAGGTCAGCTTCAAGACTAATAAAATCAAGACCATCTAAGGGGATCGCCCCGTATTCGGCCTAGCCGGACGCTAGGACGGCACAGCAGGCGCGCACCCATACATACACACTCACTCGTACTCGGCGGCCGCTGCCCGCCGTCGCTCCATCGGCGGGCACACCGCGACTTGGACCCAGGCTTGTCACCTTTTCAGTGAAAATATAGTATTTTGTCGTGTTATGTAATTATATGTTAAAATATTACGTTTTCACCGTGTTTATGCGAAAGTGATGGACTTGAACTTACGGTGACGACATAAATTGCCAAATACTTGATAAGCAAGAGTCTAATGTAATGATAGACATAGGTGACATTCCTAATGATTGGACCTGACTTATAGACTGTCTTCCCGAGACGGCCCGCCCTATGTCAGGGTTGCCGGGCGGGCGTTTTTATTATTGTAAAACTAGAGAAATGTTTTTGACTGTAATGTGTGGCAACCCTTTGTTCGCCGCCCGGATAGTCGACCGCTAAAATTGGGTTAAGTGTTGAGGAAACCAAGATGGCGGCGAGGCGGGGCGCACTTTGCGCAGGTCCGGATGGCACGGCGCGGCGCGGGAACCAAGGGTCGCCACCGACACGCAATAATAATATAAGCTCCGCATCAGATGTGGGCTACTGGCCAGAACTCTGAAACATACATATTGGTAATAGTCAATAACAAAATAATGATATTAAACTTCGCTTATGAACGGTTGTGGTTATCGAGAAAATAGTTTTCGAATATAAAATAATATTAGCAATAATAGCCTAAATGCTATGCTCCAATTTTTTATGCGATCATATCGTAATAATTACATTAACGTACGTATATAGGAGACGAGACGAGGGCGAGAGAGCGCGACACACTCGATGTACGACAGGCACCGCGGTCGCCGGCGCCCCACCGGCCCGGCGCGGACTAATCGAAGTAAAATAGTGTTATATTGTTAAAGATTGGAAAGAAAATATATATTATCTATACGTATATTTTAATCATATATTAAAATTAAGGAAGAAAAAAAACTAATCAAAAACTGTGATAGGTTTTGATACAATTTTAAAAGATCAGAGTATGGGTGTTGCAGGCTGCTCGAGGCGAGCGAGCCCGGCAGTAGTTAGTATTAGAAAAATTTTTGAGATACATTTTCGATGGTGGTAATACGCTTAACACGACGGCCGATGCCAAGTCGTACGGAGTTGACGGATGTTCCGAGTACACGGAGCTTGGGGAAAATCGATCGAGCTAGTTCTGGGGAGCGCGCAGGCGAGCGCGGGCGGGCCGCGGGGCCCGGGGCGCGGGGCGCGGGGGCGCGGGGCGGCACCCACCCTGTCGGTGGCCGGGGGCGGGCGCGCGGCTCGCCCGCGAGGACGAGTCCGTTCGCGGAACAATGGTGCATACTCTAGTCTAACGATATCGTTCCAAAAATATAATTAAATCGATGTCTAAACATATTATCGGTACCTGCTATAATAATAATGTATGGATGCGGCCCTGCGTCTATTCGAACTAGGCTTTAATTGTCTTAGTCTAAATGGAAATTTGTAAATAGAAAAAAAAGTTGTTTAATTTAAATAAATGATTCAGTAACGCCGCGTCTCAACACGTCACACTAGTATCTATGATATCATTAAACTTTACCCGACAAAGACCTACTATGAAACATCGAACTTGAATAGATATTTTAAATATCGTGCCGTCCTAACGACCCTACGATTTTTGTAAAAAAAATATATACTTAATATTATGTAAAAAACAGTTTTGTAACATTTCAAATATTAAAAATAAATAGGTATCTACTCATTACATACCAAAAGATGGAGATAAAAATTTACAAGTATTTATATATTTATTATAAATGTAAAACGTGCAATAACTAATAGCCAGTAATTTAAAATTAAAAAAAAATATTATTAAAACGTCAAAAATGACTCGAAGAGGCGTTGGTTGACATAGTGTCAATGCGTGGAGCTCGCGCCACCTTGTTTACTATTTATTGTAAACTATTTGTTTATCCGCACGAAGTACGCGCGATTCGATTACACTCATTGTTTCCATTTATTTCAATAATATAAAAACGACAAAAAAATCGCTTAATTTCGATACAGCTTGATAAATGCTTCTGACATTCCATTTTTAGTGTTAATACTTTTATTAGGAGTACTCTTATTAATTTTAGATAAAATTCGTGAGTTACCTGTGCGTGCTCAAACGTCACTTCACCTGTCAGCTTGTTTGACAGTTGTCAATTGGGAATGACGTTTGCGAACGCGGATTACGTTTGATTTAATTTCGATGAAGCCGTACGGTTGGCTACGAAATGAGTATTTGTATGGTCGACGTGTGAAGCACAAGATTTGCTATACCTACTTATTATCTATTATACTATGTAGTCGTCTCTTAGGTTAAAATAGTTGTTGTGTTTTGTGTTGTTTTCATTCAGCATGAAAATTTCAACTATTCTAGTCATATGTTCCGAAAGGAATAATTATTAAATTATAATAAAGAAAATATTTGATATTTTGAATAGTTGAAGTTAATGGTCAATGTTGATAATAATAATCTTAATGATAATTTTGTCATAATATTTTTCATCTTAGATTTACTGTCATTAATTTAGTGTATGTGCAATTTATTGTATTTTATGTGTAAAACTTAGTGTGCATTTAACTTATTTAATATTATATAATTTATAAATTATTATATTCCTAAATATTAGTTTTTATCGATGTCGATATATTTCCGAGTAATGTCTAGTCACTGGTGGTACAGGCGCGCACACAAGTGTCGCCTGTCTATTTATTCGCGTCGATAAAAATTGATGTTTTATCGAGAAGTCGATAAGTAAACCTAAATTGATTTATTTATTAGGGAAATATATCGGGCAATTAATCTAGGTCGGAAGCTTGGATTTGCTAACTTTGGTTGGAGGTGTCGAAGTAACATTTTTGTTCAATTACACAATTTTACGATTCCTTATTGATTTGTTTTCTCAGATGTTTGCGTATGGTATAAAGCTTAATACGTCGTTTTGAATCGAAACATAAAACACCAAAGTATTTTACTGAAATTTCATCGACTTTTTAGATAATAATAAGAAATAATGAGATTGCAAATGATAAAAATGCAAAATGATATTTTGGAGTGAAATTGTTCGTTAGGAGTTCGGTTAGGTGTTACGTCAGAGGTTAGTAGAATGTTTTGTGCGCCCCTCTTCTTTCGGTAATAATTATAAAATAATAATAATTAATAATAGTGCTCAATAGCTTAGAGGGCTATGCCCGTAGTACGTAACGCGAGAAGCAATAATAAATAATTGTGAATTTTATAAACAGAACACACGGGTAATAACTACACCTTAATTAACTTAATATTTTTGTATGTATTTTAAAATATACTGTAATTCATATCTTCATAGATTTAAGCGGCCGACTCGCAAAACGTTCTACTAATTCAGTTGCAGTCCGAGTTTTAATTACTGCCAATGTAAACTAAGCGACAGGTCTCGTGTTGCAAACTGTAAAAAATGAAACCTTGCTAGGTATCGCTAGAGCAATCCATGGAACCTATTTTAAGAGAAATGGGCAGACACGGGCCGCGGAGCAACTGTATGTTGACACACACAGCGTGTGGCCATTGTGTAGAGGACGAAGCAATCAAAACTCGGACTGCGCCAGCTATCTACAAAGCTATGGTATATAGGTTGTGGATACAAACGTTGATGCTAAGTAACTAACCCCACTAAGTGACAAGGGATATCTGATCAATAGCATAACGGCTACTTTTTGAAAGGTGTTTTGATGCATTTTTATGAAATTAAAAAATAATAATATTATTAAAAATATTAAAAAATCGTAAATTAATTGGCAACACAGAAACAATACTCTAATACGCATAGGCTAATTGACAATGAGGCTGTGAAATTAGCAAAAATAAAGTTAAAGAGACACGTGACGATTGATCGTAATTTAATAAATAAAATATTAACGTAAGTTAAATCACAGAACAGAGACCTAATGGGAATTTATTTCATGCGCCACAGACTCGTCGGCACACATCATTTCCCAGTCGTTTCCCAATGTGCCGATATTCACACTTTCCCAATCGAGAGCATGATGCTTTGCGTAGCATGGATGGATTGCAACGTGCCATATTCACTTGTTACCGATTCTTTCCTGTGAACCATTCAACGCCACTTTTATAATATAAGGAAAGTATGTGTCTATATGAGGTGCTCCCTTAAGGAAGCAGCGCCTCAAGCGACCTGAGCGCGTGCGCAGGTGGCGCTGGCGTCGCTTGAGGCTACATACAGCAATAAAGTGTAATGTAAAGAGTGCGATAGTACATAAGGTATAGGTTGCTAGCCCACAGCCTGAATGCCTCTCTGTTCTGTGATTGGAATCATGCACTCACGCGTACAAAACATGTTTAATGCCCATATTTAATAAGTAAATCAATTGAAAAGTTAATACTCCAAACTGCGTGAACTGTTTGACTGTCCAATGTGAAATAATGGTAGAGAAATAGAGTGAGATGGGAATAAAAGCATATAGAGTTTTTCTATACAGCTTATCGTGTAGAGTGGAATGGCCTTAAACTCGGACGCAAGCACAAAGAATTATCAGTGTGGCCGAGATGTACGCGATTCCGATAGTTAGGTCACAAATGAAGAATGATCTTCCATAGTAAATAAATACGTAAGTTTTATATTTCTTCACGTAAAAATATTTCAGTGAACCACTCTCTGTGTCGCGATACTCGCCGCGCGACGCGCCCACTCGATATGCTCAATTTAACAATGGACGCAGCGACGCAGCGCCCAGTGTTGTGACACAGTCTTCCTACTCGACGACACTCAGCATAGCGATTGAAATATTTTTCACGTCGTAGAAAACTCGAGACATCGACTAAATGTGTTACTATTACTTCATAAATGTCAAAATTTCTAGTGAGAATAAACAGAACGCAATGCACAACACCTAATGATATGTACTTGTATGCTGCTACAGCTGTATTCTTATAAAATTATTTGTATATTAATACTACATTTGCTCACCTTGTACTTCCTTGTATTTTGGATCCGTTTCTCTAGTCGTATAGCTTAGTAGTGTAATGTCTGTCGATAATTTTATAAATACAGCTCCGCCCAGCAGCCTGTTGCTTCCCTATACGCATGATCATCGTCACAAATGTTCCGAACACATAGTGTTACTCGATTTCTTTCTAATAAATTCCTTGAACTAATCTTACTGACGATTCTAATTAACATAGCCCTATGTGTTTTTATCCCTGAATAATCGTTATAGACAGTGAAAACCGGAGCGAGAGATAAATTAAAATCGACCTGACGTAGAATAAAAATCTTTTGTTCAAACATTTTAGAATGAAATTAGCTTGACAATACGCCGTCGGGTAAAAAACAGATTGCAATAAATATGTAAATAAACATCAAAGGTTCGGTCCTGCTTCGGGTAAGCGAATTATAATTAAAAAAGTATTAATAACCAATAGTTTCGAATTTAAAATAAAAAGTAAATATCATGTAATATCAATTTCACTGTCTATTTATTAGTATTCGTTTTCGGTGTTGATTCCTCTTAAGCTGCATGGACACAGTTTGTTCCCATATCGTACGCATCCGTAGACATGCTGTTGTATCGATACACCTCACTGTATTTACGACTGGTTTCATTTTATCGTACTCACTATCGATAACTTTGTTCGTGTTAGCAGTAGTTTCACCTCACTGTTTGGCAATAATTTCCACGCGATGGGAACGAACTCGCACTCATGCAGAGTAGATTGTGATACTCCTAGTGCATACTATAGTCAATACTCGCACACCATTACCATAGATCAGGGTTCACACTTGATCATCTCTTCGTGTGAACTTTCTAATGTGTAAAATCGATCCCAACCTCCCACAAACTCGGTAAGGCTAGGACATAATTTAGAAAAAATGCATCGTAAGATAAGAATCTCAAAAATAAAAGTATTGAATAAGTATTTTACCAACTTCAAAGTTAAGGTGTACTAGACAATGAAAGCAATGATATTTATAATTAAATAAAAATGAAATTATGTGTAATTCGGTCAGCCATTTTCCTTGTTCGTCTCGCTGACGTCACTTTGATACAAATACGTATTTTATAAAAGTAATAAAATGCAAAAAAAGTTGAAAAAAACACTTAAGATCTTCCGGTATAACATGTAAAGAGAATCAATGTTAACAGTTTCATTTACGTCTTTTTATGAATTATTATAAAATTAAGAGGTAGATGTCTGTATGTGTTGGTGGTATTAACTGATTTAGTTGGTATTGTACCTAAAAATTAGGTATTTCTATAATAATTATTGTGTCGGTTTAAATAAATTACCTCTACATTATAGCTTTTGTGAGAATTATTGTTTGCACAAGAATAGAGGAATAAGGTCGATTCACTAAAACTGGAAGGTTCCTACACGCGGGCTGCCATCGTGGGCAGTTCGGGTGTGCGGCGCCGGCTCGTGTAGACCCTGCGTTATGACTGCATTGTCGCAACGCCGCGTCTCGCAGCCGACAAAGTCAAAGTATGATAATGTCAAAACGATCGCAGTAATATTTGACAGCTAATATATTTTTAGTGTCCGTTGCAGTTTTAGTGTCGTCTTTAGTCATAAATGTTGTTTCCAATAATTTATAAGATCGTTCTAAGGATATTGTGTAGAGTTCTCTAAATTCGCTAACTTTTTCCGCAAATTATGTAATCGAGTAGAAAAAGCAAGCGTTTGGATAATTCTGCACGCCATCTTTCTTTCGATATTGGATTAGAAAGATTTTTGAATAAAAAAAGAATACTCATTCCTAAAAGTAAGCATTAATAACCAATATATTTACATCAGTAGATACTTGGCTGTTTTTACGTAATTATGAATTAATATTTTCACGTAATTTATGTGTCTATAATTAATTAATTTATTGGAATTAATTATAATAAAAAAAATATGGAAAAAAATGTCACATTCTTCTCACTTTATACAATAGTTTTTACAATATGATATTTAATATCCTCAATGGTTGTAACTATACATTTCTTGTTCTAAATATATAAAAAACCCGTGATTGAGTTTTTTATTCAACCTGTAGTATGTCCTTTAATCATAAGGCCCATACGGCTACACTTTGCTAACCAGTACATAGTTTGCACACACACATAATTACCTGAACATTCACTACATGGTTTCCATAAAAAAAACACAATTAAGTATAGAAAAGTACTTTAATAATACATTTTCTTAGTTTACATTTTTGTCGTTCACTGTACTTTTAGTGACATTAGCGCTATTAATATTTTAACACCCTATATCGTGCCTAATCGATCAGAACGAACATCATCAAATACAAAACATTATTAAATATATTTATAGATTCTTTTGTTTTTTTCCGTATATTTTCAATCGGTCTCTTGACCATTTAGAATTTAACACAAATAATTGAATCATATTGATCCCGTTGAATATTTTAATACAAGAAGTAGTGATCCTAAAAATTGAAATTATTCACGAAGTAATTTATTAATTTCAGTCAATTTAAATATCAACTTCTAATACTAGGATTGTTGTTCCTTTTCTAGCATTTCC